TTTTTATTATTTTTTATTTTTAAGGTTCACAACCATTTTTTTTTTAATTTTTAAGATTCACAACAAGGTGCCATAGACATCGGCGCCGTACCAGGCACTAAATCAATAGAGAACTCTATCTCTCGGTGAGGTGGCAAACTAACAAGATCTTCGGGAAAAACATCCGAATACTCACAAACCACCCTCAGCAACACAAGCTAAAAGCCACTTTTTTTGGTTTGTAGCAAAAGTTAAAAGTTGGCTTTTTTGTCTTTTTTTTCATTTGGGAAGTTGGTTTTTAGCCAACGGTGAAATTACAATTTTACCCTCATGGGTCAAAATGTGTTACATAGGTGAAGTCGTAAATATTTTACATAAATGGGGGTTGTTTGGTCATTTTATTATGATTTGACATCATAAACAAACATTAATCAAAAAAGTCAAAAGTCACTTTTTACCAACTTTCCAAATCATTTGTCTAAAAAAGCCAAAAGCTTGGTTAAAAGCCAAAAAACCACTTTTTACCATCTTCCCAAAATAACCCTTAATATCCACCCCATTGCCCCTCATTGTCATCCCTATTGCAGCTTGGTGATGAATTTGATATGCTCCAACTACATTACTAGAAACCTAATATTCATGAGACTCTTCGTGTAATTTTACATATGGGCAAAATTGAAAAAAAAAAAAAACTCATATAAATGATATAAAGATGAAAAGTAGTAGTGTAAGTAGAATCACTCTTTAATTCGACATTTTAAATCTCTCAACATATTTGTTAGTGTGAATATAAAGATAATTCATCCCTTGTATTAATTTGATCAATGAAATTTGGCTTTTTTTATGTTGAGTAATGCTAGAGACCCCAAATATTTTACCAAAAGTTTTACCAAATGTCTCACATGGATGTGGGACCCACCATGTGAGACATTTGGTAAAACTTTTGGTAGAATTTTTGGGATCTCTAGCATTTTTGTTTTATGTTAATTTAATTTCTAAAATTTCTGTCTTGTCCCTAGAAACTAATCACGTGTTGCACATGTGAGAAAAAGATGGCGACGCTTTTATTTGACAATAATTGTAAAATTTAGTGTCAAATACACTACAGTTAAAAAAATAATGAACAAATTAATATAAGAGACATATTTCAAGGACCAACAATGTAATTTATCTAAAAAGATATTAATAAAATCTAAATAGAAGCACCCTACAAAAACAACTGTACCTTTACGTTGAATTTTACTTTGATCTCTTATATTTAATTGCTATAGTCAACACTTTATACTTTGATTAAAGTATAATGCGGCTCTTTAGTTAGTTTGATATTAAATCACATAAAAAAAACAAAAAAAATTGTTACACGACTCTCACAAGAGAAATTTTTGGAAGTGCAAAGAATTTTTTTTCTATTTTTTTTTTAATTTATATTTTTTTCTTTATTGTATTTTCTAAATGGGTAAATTACACTGACACCTCTTGAGATTTAGTCTAATTACATCCCATTCCCTGACGTTTTGAAAATTTTATTCTCACCCCTGTGGTTAATAGTCTCATTTCACAAACCTCTTTACTTATATGAAAGGTAACAACTCCTAATAGAAAAACAAAGGAAATTATATTTAAAAAAAAGAGTAAAATAAAGGGAAAAAAAGAAAAGAAAATAAAGAGGAAGTAAAGTAAAGTAAGAAAAGAGAGAATGTATGAGTTCAATGTATTTATTTTGTCTAAATAATTACAATGACAGGAGGTTAATATAATTTTTCAAACATCAAAAAATAATACATATTAAAATAAAATCTCAAAGGGTGTAAGTATAATTTACCCTTTCTAAATTGACTATCACTAATCACATCTCCTATTCTAATCTCACCCTTTTCCCTTTAGACACTACCAATTCACGATTGATTGGGAGAAAAAATGGATGGAAACTGCAAGAAAAATATGGGACAATGGTAAAAAATAGGCGATTAGTGGTAGTGAATTTAGAAAATATAATAAAATACGAAAATAGAGTAAAAAATAGAGAAAACAAATAGAAAGAATTTTTTTGGTCCTAACAAAGATGATAATTTTTTCAAATAATTTAATTCTAAATTAATGAAATAATCACACTTTGACTTGATTGAAAGTATAATGATTGACTTTTACAATTAAAAAATAAAAACAAAGACAAAATGTTATGAATAAAGATTGATAGCTTGAATTGAGTTTTGTCCGAATGGTTCGAATTTGTCTATGTCGGTCGTCCAGACCGGCTGGACGACCATCTGGACGATTGGTACAACACTTGTCTATTGCGATTATCACCTTATCTCCCGCAACTATCAGTCTTTTTGCCGGATAACTGACTGAACAACCAATTACAAGCCAAAATTCGAGCTATTCGAACAAGATGAAATTCGAGCTAACAAACTGAGATTCATACAAGCCATTGCAAAAGTGGCCTAAGCCCTTCCAAAAATCGTAAATTCAGGGTAGTTCAATTGATTTTTTTTGATTGTTCTGATGGGTTTGGATTCTTCATGGGAATAATTCTGTGTTTTTTGAATTCTATTGAGCTAAATGGGTTTGTTTAGTTCAATTGATTTTTTGATTGATGGTATGAAATAGAAATAGCTATTTATGGTGTTTATGTTTGCAATCTCTGCATTTTATTTTCATTAACTTAGATTCAGAACCACTGGGTTGAAAATGAAGATGTATTGGAGTGTAAAAACTAAATTGTTATTTAGCAAAAAAAAATTTTAGTTGACATTTTTAAGTTAAAATTTTTTTAGTTTGAGATTAAAAAGTTCGTTTGTTTTGACTTTTTTAGTTTTTTTTTTTTAATTTTTGTAAAAGAAAAAATAAAATGATTATAATTTGAATGTGATAGTTTATCTTATCAACTTATTTAACTTATTTTTATCTTTTGTACTTTTTTTTAGCCACAACTAAATAGCCAAACGAAACCTAAGAAGCTAGTTTATTACTTTGGGAAGGAAGTTTTTTTTGTATTTTTTTAGTAAAAGACAAATTAGTTACAAAATCAAAAAAAAAAAAAAAAACAAATCTAAATAAAATATCATATCAAACCACATAATCATTTCACTTTTTCTCTCACAAACATCATATCCAACCACAAAAAAACTCAATTATCTTCCAAAATACAAAAAAAAATTTCTCCAATAATATCTTACAATTAAAAAAACAGCAATGATTGAGGGCCACAATTTTTGTGGCTCAAATGGCTCGAAATTGCTAAAACGACGTCGTTTTGAGTACAAAACAACATTAAAATTGTCAAAATGACATCATTTTGACAATTTTGAGCCATTTGAGCAACAAAAATTATGGCCCTCAAACATCTTTCTTAAAAAAATCTATAAAAAAAATACACTCCCCAAACATCCACGTTATCAGATTGCTCTGGCTCCTTTTGGGTATTGATTTCAAATAGGGAGAGAAAAGAAAAGTGTTTATGGATTCATGGGCAAGGGGTTACCCGAGAATTACGCTGGAGAGAGAGTCACCGTCTGGGAGAAACGTCGGAGAGGGTGAGAGGATCGGTCGGTGATGAGGCTTGCCATTTGAGAGAGACTTTTGTGGTTCTAATTTAGGTGCGTGAACATACTACTGTGTTTGAGACAAATAGAGCAAACACTCCCTCAAATCTATCTAGCTGATACGGTCGATTCGGACGAGCAAAATTTCCATAGACCTAGCAGAATTGATAAAAAAAATAAAACAACAAATAACAATCCTTTCAGCGTAAAAGCGTTTATAATCTTCGAAAAGTCTATAATTTTGTTAAATCTAAAGAAAAGTCAATCTAATTCACCATTTACTTTAAAATAAAAATAAATTGGTAAATAACCAAGTTATGTTAATTGTGTTAATCCGACGCCTCCTACATCGGCGGTGAATTCAGAAATCTCAATAGAATTTTTTTTATAATTATTATAATAAAATAAATTCTGAATTTTTAATTTTATCAATTTAAATTTAAATTTTTTGATTTATTTTCAACTTAAATTATCATCCTATTTTTTGTTAAGAAAAATATATATATAAAAATATTTTAGACATTTTGTGTGCACTTATATTGAGTTTAATGGTTAAAATATTATTTTTTTCGTCAGTTTACTTAACGAAAATAAACGAATAATTTAGATTGAAAATAAATCAAAAATTAAGATTTAAATTGATAAAATTAAAAACTCAAAATTTATTTTGCTAAATGATCAAACTTTAATTTTTTTTAATTATAATTTCTCCAAATTTTTATAATTTGCTAAACAAGTATAATTTACACTAAGGCTTTGTTTGTTTTGAAATAAAATATTTTATAAAAAATATTTTTTTTGTTAATTGATTTTACACAAAGAAATATTTTTATTTTTATTTTTTGACATTTGGTTGACACTTAAAACAAAAAATATTTTATTACCTAAAAGTGAAATTTTGATTCAATGAAAGTGTCATTTATAACTTTTTAATGAGTTAAAATACTTATTTAAAAATACTAAATGTATTAAAAATGTAATGAGCGAAAAATTAACTTATGAATTTTTTAAAAATAATTCATTTTTAAGAAAATGATATAAAAATATTTTTCTTAAAATATATTTTACTTACTTTTTATTTAACTAACCAACAAAAAAATAAATAAAATATTTTTAATAAAAACATTTTACGTCAAATCAAAGGGTGCCTAAAATCTAAATAGAAGCTCTAACCACTAAAAAATTACGACAATGCTACGTAACTCAAATTTTGTGACTCAAAAGTGGCTCAAATGGCCAAAACATTTTGGCCATTTAAGTTTTGGCCATTTGAACCACTTTTGAGCCACAAAATTTGAATTACGAGACATTTTTCAAAAAATTATTAGTTAATCCAAAAATACCACATTATCATACTTTTCTCACGAATTACAATTCATCGTAACATTTTATATTTTATAATCACCAACACAAATTCGTCAATTCTATTCTATTCACCCATCACAATTTCTAATTATCAATACAAATTCGTAATCTTCATACTTTCCATCAGTCACAATAGCGCTAGACAATATCTGGCGGTGGCCAAGTCTCCTTCCCACGCTAGTGCGGTGTTCACGCGAGCCATTGCCAAGCGGCCCAAGCCCTTCCAAAAAAATCCCAAATAGTGCGTACTGTCTCTTCTTCTCCCTCCTCTCATGCAGTCCATAACCAGACCAACACCATAGAAACAAAGCCCTCTCATCACACGGGTCGTTTCTAATCTTTGCACCTCAGCTTTACATACACAGTCTTAGTGTAAAAGGTATGAACTTTGAACTTACCATGTCTCTGGTTCTTATAATTGATTTTGGTTTCAAACTCAACATATTCTTTAGTTGTTAGAACATTAAACTTTGATTTGTTTTTGGTACCAAATTTGGGTAATTGGGTATGATTTTGAATGACCCAAAAGAAGTAAAACACTTGGGAACTTTGTAGTGTGAGTTCAGTTTGCTTGAAAATGGAGTCGGGTTCGAATGGCGAAGAACCCACATCGTGGGATGAACTGTACAAGATTGATTTAATTCCATCGGAGTTGTTTCTCAAGTTTCGGAAAGAAATTGAGGGGTTTCGGGTTGGTCTCAATTTGGAGGTATATTTCTATTTTGTTCATTCTTGATTTGTTTATACTAAATTCAAACTTTTGACGGCCTTTTGAGTCCTTATTTTGTTGATGCTTTGTTTGCTTATTGGCTGCTTGTGGACAATGAAGATGAATTCTTGTTTCTAACAACAATGGGAAACCAATCTAATATGTACAAATTTTAGGTTGTGTTTGGAATTTGTTTTGAAATGAAGGGATTTGACACTTTATTTTCAGGGAGATTAGCTGACATTTAGATTTAATAACCTACCTTCCTTTTTAGTTTACCAATTCACCTATACAAACTCTCCTATACTTCTATAGAATTTAGTAGTTGTTTGGAATGTGCTATATTGATGCACTTTTTGACTTTTTGGTTAAAAAAGTAGAGAAAAAAAAATGTATGTTTGAGATAACTTTTCGACTTTTAGTAGTTGAATTCAAAGGGCAAAATAATAATTTTGTCCTAATAGCTTCCCCCACAAGCTACCCTTGAATAGTATAGACTTTTTAGCTTTTTTAATCATTCCAAACAAGGCCTTAATCTTAATTCCCTTGATTTGAAATTTATATCCATCCAAACGAAGGATTTTTGTCAATCCTAGAGCGTCGATTTCTAACGGCTGGTTTCTCAATTTTGATGAATGGGGCTCAGGTCCTTTTGTCATGTCTTGTCTTGTCTTTGTAAGTATTTCTGAATGAATTGTATATTCAACTTGTAAATAATACAAATATTACAACCAATATTTATAGGAATCCTAACCCTAATCTAGAATAGGAAATACAAACTTAATTCCATATTTATATAGCATTTCATAATTACATAGCAACCTAATTCCATATTTACATAATAGTCGCAAGTTACACAATATTCTCACACCCCAGCTCAAATTCAAGGTGTTTGAGCAGAAAACACTGAGAGTTTGTTATGAAGAAACTGAAACCGAGCGGTAGTGTGAGTCTTGGTGAAGAAGTCCGCAAGTTGCAAAGTCAAGGAGACGAAAGGAAGCAAGAGAGAGCTAGACTGCAGATGCTGTCAGACAAAGTGACAATCAATCTCAATATGTTTCGTCTGTTCATAGAAGACAATATTGTGAGCAATCTGAATAGCACTGCGGTTGTCATAATAAAGAGAGGTTAAAGAAGACTGAGGGACACCCAAATCAGAGAGAAGGCAATGAAGCCAAACAAGCTCAGCAGTAGCGTGAGCCATAGCACGGTACTCAGCTTCGGCAGTAAAGTGAGCAACAACAATTTGTTTCTTGCTTTTCTAGGAGATCAAAGAATCGCCAAGAAACACACAGAAATCAGAGGTGGACCTGCGATCATTAACATCATCAGCCCAATCAGCATCAGCATAGGCCACTAAGTCTAAAGAGGAAGTAGAGGACAATAGTAAACCTTGAAAGATGATACCCCGAAGATAGCGGAGAATGCGAACCAAAGTAGCTCAATGGGTAGAGCGAGGAGCGGAAACGAACTGACTAACCATATGAACAGCATAAGCAAGATCATGGCGAGTGACAGTCAAATAAACTAAATAACCCACAAGCTCGCGATAAAGCGTGGGATCATGCAGAGGGACACCATTAGTAGAGTTGAGCTTCACATTAAGCTCAATAGGTGTATCAAAAATCTTAGTATCAGTAAGACAGGCACGGTGAATAACCACATTAGCATATTTGGCTTGAGACAGAAAGTAGTCCTTTGGAGAAGAGGCAACCTCAATACCCAAGAAAATACCACAATAGACCCAGATCCTTCATTTCGAAGGTGCGAAAGAGATGTTGCTTGACCTCAGAGATAATAGAAGAGTTAGAACCAATGATGATCATATCATCAACATAGAGTAGGACAGCAACAAAACTATCCGAGGTATGTCTCAGAAACAAAGCAGACTCGTAAGTAAAAGGATGAAACCCAAGCTCGGTAATAGCAGTCTAAAAGTGATCATACCAAGCACGAGGAGACTGCTTTAGACTATACAAAGCACGCCGAAGGCGACAAACCTGTCCAGAGGAATGGTGAAGGCCAGGGGGAGGACGCATGTAAACCTCCTCAGTGAGATGGCCATTAAGAAAAGCATTCTTAACATCCATCTGATAAAAAGGACAAGAACGAACAGCAGCGACAGAGATCAAAGTACGGGCAGTAGTAATCTTAGCAACAGGAGCGAATGCCTCCTCATAATCAATACCATACTCGTGTGAGAAACCTTTGACAATCAAACGAGTTTTGTAGTGCTCAAGGAAACCATCAGAATGAGTATTGACTTTATAGACCCATTTGCAACCAACCAGATTCTTACAAGCAGGCAAAGGAACCAACTCCCAAGTACTAATTTTCTGTAAAGCAGACAACTCATCCTTCATAGTTTGAACCCAATGAGGATCCTGGCCTCCTTGTAAGACTGAGGTTCTGAAAAAGAGTGAATAACAGACAAAAAAGTACGATAGAAAGCAAAAAAATATATATTAGACCAACCCAACCTGTTTGGAGGATGATGCTCACGAGGAGGATAGCGGTGTGTAGCAGGATCAGAGTCGTCAGAAACAGAAGGAGCAACAACATGAGTAAAGACAACTGGTAGTGAGAGAGCCTTGCGACGAGAATAGACCAACAACAGAGGGGAAAAAGCAGCCGAAGGAGAAGAATGAGCCATAGGTGACGTAGACGGAGAAGGAGGAATGGCCTCAGGAAGAACAGTAGCGATATACTCATCTGATGGGACCTCAGAAGGAAAAGGGTCAATGTGAACCAAATCCTTTTTGGAAACGGGAGCAGTGAGAGGGGGAAGCTGAAAGTAAGACAGACGTTTGAGAAAGGTAACATGACGGGAGACATAGAGGCGACGAGAGACAGGGTTGTAACAGCGGTAGCCTTTCTGAATAAGATTGTAGCCCAAAAAGACACACAAGACAGACTGGGCACTGAGTTTGATCTGATTTTTACAGGGAAGGAGGACAAAACAAGCAGACCCAAAGACACGCAGGAGAGAATAATTGGAAGGTTGGGAATACAGAGCCTTATAAGGGGAGTGACCAGAGAGTAAGGGAGTCGGCATGCGATTGAGGAGGAAAGCAGCGGTAAGAACTGCCTCACCCCAGAATGGTGCCGGAACATCGGCATAGAGAAGGAGAGATCGAGCTGTCTCAAGGAGATGACGGTGTTTACGTTCAGCGTGATCATTTTGGGCAGGGGTATCAGTACTGGAGATTTGGTGAATGGTGTCCAAGTTGGCCAAATACTCACAGAATTCAGTTTTAAAGTATTCCCCACCCAAGTCAAACCAGAGTATTTTAATTATGGCCCCAAACTGTGTAGTGATCATAGACTGAAAGGTACAATATATCTGGTAGAAGTCAAATTTATGAGCCATAAGATAAACCTAGGTATAGCGGGTACAATCATCAACAAATAACACATAGTACGCAGAACCCCCTTTAGTGAGAACAGGAGAAGGGCCCCAGATATCAGTATGGACAAGAGAAAAAAGGGAAGCAGAAATAGAAGTACTGTTATTAAAAGGTAAAGCTGCCATTTTAGTAAGTTTACATCCTCGACACTCATTAATTTGACTAGGAAAAACTTTACCTAATAATCTTGACTGAGCTAAAGACCGCAAGCAGTCAACAGACAAATGACCTAAACGAGAATGCCATAAATAAAACTGACACAACTGAGAATCTAACTGAAAAGATGAAAGTGCAACGGGGGAGGTAGACAGAGGAAGATGTAGGCTTTCCACTATATAAAGATCTCCAACTCTACGGCCGGTCCTAATCTGCTTCTTGGACACTCAATCCTGCACACAACAGACAGAAGAAGAAAAGATAACATCAAAACCAAAAGTATCAAGCTGATTGATAGAAAGCAAGCTAACAAACAGTTGAGGAACATAAAGAATAGAGGGAATAGTAACAGCAGACAGGGCAGAGGGTAAAACAGACTCAATAGATAAGACAGACATACCAGACCCATTAGCAGTATTAATAATAATAGGAACGGGAGGGGGGATACAATTTTGGAGTAAGGAAAGGTGAGGAGTCATATGATGAGAGGCACCAGAATAAAAAAGCTAGACAGAGGAAGAAATACCTGAAGATGACCCAAGCAAACCTGAATGAAGAGAGGTGAGAGCAGAGGCAGAGGAAGATGACTGAGAGGTGGATTAGAGATGCTGAAGTTGGGCAATCTGGACACTCAAGGAAGCCAAGTCAGGATCAGAAGCTGGAGCAGATGCAATATAAGCAGCAGGAGGGCGAAAAGTACTCGAAGTAGGACCTTAGAACTGTGGCTGAGATGGCTGAGCAGACTGACGGCTCTTCTTGGGACAGTTGTACTTCCAATGACCTTTTTGATGGCAGAAAGCACACTCATCTTATGCTAAGGGCCCCTTTTTGGGCTTGGCAGAAGACTAAGGCTGAGAAGCAGATGGAGTTGTCAATAGGGGTGGCTGTGCTGAGAAGACTGCAGGAGATAGAGTCTGACTGGCCGTCTTAAGACGGGTTTCCTCGGAGAGGAGCTCACGAACAATAGCATCTACAAAGGGGAGAGGAGACCGATGAAGGATGTCACCACGGATAGCCTCATGCTGAGGGGAGAGAGCCGTTAAGAACTGCACTAAACGACCTTGCTCCCGAAACTCAACATAAGCGTCTAGTGCCTTGAGACTAGATGGTTCCATGAGAGCCAACTGATCCCAGAGACCTGTCATCTCAATGAAGAAGTCTTGAATAGATTAATCCCGCTGACGAGCACTCTGAATCGTTGTTTCCAACTTATATCGTTTGGCAAAGTTGGATTGTTGATACACACCTAATAAATAGTCTCACACCTTCTTAGCAGTACTGTATTTAGAAAACATCATTCCAATATGGTCATCTATAGAATTATGAAACCAGGTCAGAACTTGGGCATTGTCACAATCCCAAGTGTCACAAGAAGTCAGATATCCTTCTTGTTTTGGGTCCAATAGACGAGGAACAGAACCAGAAACATAGCTCTATTTTTTCTGACCAAGAAGGATATTTTTTGTAAGAATTTATGTATTATTGATTGATTTATATTGATTGATTGTCTTGATATAGTATTTATTACAATTACAAGGATTCCTATTATATAGGAGTGTGTTTGGGAGTAGGTGGAGAGTAGGTGAAGTGGAGGTGGTAGTGGTGTAGTGGGTTAGGTTTAGTGGAGTAGGTGAGGTGGTAGTGGTGGTAGGTTTATGGTAAATTCTAACATTTTTCATAACACCAGCCCAATAAGTATAATTGGCACCAGTGAGTTTATATTTGATGGCTTGAATTTTGGTGTCCGTCATTGTAATAAACTAAAGATTAATGGGTCAAAGTATACTAATAACTTAATAAGTGAGCCAAGTATACTAATAACTTAATAAATGGGCCAAACATGAATAAGGGTTTTAATAGTATTGATAACAAATCATAGAGACAGAGATAGAGAGAATCAGAGTCGTGATGATGAACCGAGATGAACTAAGAGAGAGCCAGAGAGAGAGAGAGAACCAGAGTCAGATAATCGCGAGAGGGAGTCGTGATGATGAACTGAGATGAAGCTGACGAGCACTGAGAGAGACACGATAAAGCAGGCGCGATGATTGATCACGATTTACAACCGATGGGTTGCGACTGAACAGAGAGGCTACGGCTGAACAGAGAGGTTACGGCTACTAGGGTTTCGACTCTGCAAGCTAGGGTTTCGAACCAAGCTCTGATACCATGTAAGTATTTCTAAATGAATTGTATATTCAACTTGTAAATAATACAAAGATTACAACCAATATTTATAGGAATCCTAACCCTAAGCTAGAGTAGGAAATACAAACTTAATTCCATATTTACATAGCATTCCATAATTACATAGCAACCTAATTCCATATTTACATAGCATTCCATAATTACATAGCAACCTAATTCCATATTTACATAATAGTCGTAAGTTACACAAAATATTCTCACAGTCTTGTCGGCCGAAAAAGAAAGAATTTTGTACATAACTAGATATGGATGAAAGGAAGGGTGCCTTTGTTAAGATTTCTCTTTCTATCTTGTTTGTGAAAAGGTTTCTATGATATATCAAAGATTTTCTTTCATGAAACCGGTGCTGATATTAATGCTTTTGTTGGCTTAGCTATATGAACATGACCATTCTTCCAATCTTCATAGAAAATACCATAAAGTTTGGCCATCTGGTCCTATGAATCATACAATTCTTTTTTTATTTTTTTTTATTTTAAATATTTGATCTTTGAGCTTTGAGGTCAGGAGCATTGATTGTATGTATCTGCTGCCATTTACTTAACGCTGACTGAACTGTGAATCTGTGTTTTTATATAATATAAAGTGGACTTGAGAATCAAGGTTCATTAGTCAGTTGAGCATTGACCTGCCATGTTAAGTAGAAACTTACAGTTTGTATGAGGTACAGTAAAAATATATGTATTATTGATTGATATCTGATTGTTTTGTTCTATCTATTACAATTACAAATGGTTCCTTATATAGATGTAGGTGTAGTGGTTGGTGGTGGTAGGTGAGTGTGTGGTAGGTGATGGTAAGTGTGTGGTAGGTGATGGTAGATTGGTGGTGGTAGGTGAGTGTAGTAGGTGAGTGTGGTAGGTGATGGTAAGTGTGTGGTAGGTGATGGTAGATTCTAACAGGTACCCATGTCATGGCACAAGGATATGGGTATAGAATTTGTGTTGAATGTATCATGTGCCAACTTTTTAAGAAGGTAGTTCACGTCTAAGAAGTATGGACACAAACGGGACACAACACGGACACATTGGCATGGAAATTTTAAAAAAATGTAGGTCACAACACGTGGAGGGAGGGGGTGCACACAAAATATATAATTTCATATATTATATAAGTATAATTGTTATAAGTCATATATGTGGATATTTAATTCAAAGGTAATAAGTTTTTTTTAAAGGAATAGAATAAGTATAAATTTATGTTAATTTTTCTTTTATGACTGGGTTCCAAGTTATTTTAGTTAAACTTGTAATGTATTTCATGTGTGTCCAAGCGATGGACACATATTTTCCTCAATATGGTAGGACATATTTGTATGTGTGTTCGCCAAGTGTTAGGAAGTGTCCGATGAGTGTCATGTCATGTTGGTGTGCGACATGGTGGTTGACATGCCACACCACCTTTGTTAAAGTGTCGGTGTTTATTATGCGTATGTGCAAGTCCAAAGAAGAGAGCAATATTTTCAGTATCTAATGATTCCTTTAGATGCTTGCTTAATCAACTTTGTGCTGGATTGAATATATATGTCATAGACAAACCACGTCCAGTGTAGGACAATGGACATATTATGTTTAGGGCACATCATTTTATACCTAGAATACAAAATGAGGAATAATGAAAAATCAATAATTCAAGTGTTTCTTGAATGCTCTAGTTTGGACCGATATGACATAGATACATACTAATACACAACGTGTGAACTCTAATTTATGTAGATGTGCATCAAAATTTTCAATGTAATATAATTTTTTGAGTTCATGCTTCTGGTTCAGTTGTATAATGCTCCAAGTAATGAGTACCAGACAAAGCTGGTATTGAAGCCTCTATCCTGTGATCGAAAATGGAAGTTCATATATGAGCCTTTACATCATGATGTGCGCCTTCTTTCCAAGAAGATCCCAATTACAAGGTTTCTAAATCTCCAGGTTTGATCACTCTCTCTCTCTCTCTCTCTCTCTCTCTCATCACGGACAGTCGGACACATTGCTTAGTGCATGGCATGTATTATTTGTCGAGCAGGTAATATAATTTAGGGTTAATTACATTTTACCCCCCTCAACTTTAAAACCATAGATTTAGACACCCAAACTCTGAAATTTTTAACTATTGTATCAAGTTTGAGATCATGTAATCATGCAGGTTGGCATAGGCCACAGTTTTCAGTTGCACGCAACTGGTTGGAAATGGAAGCTTACTACTTGTTTGGGTGGAGATGGTGTATCTAGGATCAGGAATAAGACGTCACTTGGCTTGTGTCCTGGTGTGGATTTCCGGTTTGGATGGAGAGCAGACTATGTTCTTCCAGAATTTACTGGGCAAGTTCCTTGATCTTCTTTTTCATTCAATAGAAAGCAAATTACTTGAGATAAAAATCTGCTGACCTGATGGTATTCCAATGTAAACATCACAAACGATTTAATTTGTTTGGGGTGATGGGCAACTCTTACTTGACGGTGATTGAATTACTAGAAGTGGTGTTTTGTTTGGTTTGTTGGTTTAGGGATAACTAAAAGTTCAAATTTTTTGGATTTTTATAGGGCCGTGGGCACAGGTGAACCGTTGTTCAACATGAATTCAGGACGCCTAGAAGCATCACTTGATCGAATTGAGGCCATTTTGACTCATACATCATAAGGACTTGTCAAAGGACCAGGTGTGCTTATCAATTAATTCCTTTGAATTTCTTTGTTTATTTGCTTCTTTCCTTTTTTTTAGTACGTATGCTGATTTTATGTTTTTTGTTGCATATATTTTAATGAGCGCACCTATTTCTATTATTGTGGCAACATTTATGGATGAGTTGACTTGTTTTACATGACAAGTATTTTTGGACAAAGAATATATATATGTATATATGTATATTTTTCTTCACCCTTTGCATCGAACTTCTTCCCTAAGAAGCACGGACACTTTTAAGAAGGTGGCGTATCCGTTTTGTGTCCATGTCAGGCATAGACATTCGTTGGACACTTCCTGTCATGTGTGCTCTTCAAAACGTATCTTATTTTTTAAAATGTTTTTTAGATCCAGACACTCTTTGGAAGTCCATTGTTTCAAGAAACGTGTCTATCGATTAGATATGCATGAAACTGATTATAAGTTTGAACTAAATAGATTAGGATACAATAATAAAAGAAAAAACGATGTAAATTTGTAGAGTAATGTAAAAATCAATGTAAAAAACGGCATGTCCGTGTCTTGTGTTCATATCTTTGCATCGTAGCTTTTTCCAAAGCATATGGCTTTCTGGACATAGATAATATCTTATATATAGAGAAGGATTTATATATATCATAAAATGCAGGACCATGTATGGGAATATATAGGAATCCAAAGTTGCTGAATCGCTCATGTTATAGGATATTCTCATTTCTTTAGATAGGTGGAAAAAGTCGAATCTCTCATTTTAATTTGGCATTCACATTTTTCAACTGTACTTTTTAAACGTAAATTCATTTTTAGAAAAATATCAGATAATCGGAAAATAGGGGTGACCATTGGTTCAATGGTAAAACCTTGGCCTAATAATCTTAAGGTTATGGGTTCAAGTCATGGGGCAACTACTTTGTATACTATGCTAAAGGTTAGGTGTGTACCCGATCTTTCTCCTCCTAAACACACACTAATGTGTACTAATTGGACATTGTTTTTTATCAAATAATTGGAAAATGGGAAAATTGCAAATCAGTAGAAACTCTAAAATTAGTTGCACTGGGAAAAATTCTCACTTGCATCAAGAAACAGTTCACCATTTCCCATTTATTTGATGTTACCCTTTCTTTTTTACTCATTTTTCCTGCAGGAAGCAATGTGTTTTATCTTTAGGGTCTTTGATCATTTTAAAACTTTTGATTGTTCAAGTTTTATATTAATGCCACTATTCTTCTTACAATACCTTCTATTTGGCATGTTGAGCAGGAATGTTCAAAAAATTCAGTGTGTCTTGAAAGCACAAGTGGAAGTATTTTCATTACCAGGGGTTAGTTTTTCCATTCTCATGCAGTGATCCTTTAAGATTTTACCGTGTAACCATTGATAGGGATCCACATGAACATATGATTGTAATTAAATTATTTCAGTTTTTGCAAAGATTGTAATTAAATTATATCAGTTTTTGCACTAAGAGCAGTTTATGAAGTTACCATGTTCATTTATATTTAACCCCCAAACCCATGTTCCCAAATTGTTGAAGAGTGTAAACATACCTATGTTCCCAAAAGTCTGGAATTACTTTTCCAAGTGTTTTTCGGTATTTTGTTTGGATTTTGAATTTGTGAATGAAAAAAAAAAAAAAATGAAAATAGAAAGGCCAGGAAAATAAAATGAAAAGAAATAAGCTATTTTCCCCCCTTTTTTGATTGGATTGGGAAAATAAGAGGAAAATTATTGGAAATTAAAAAGGGTAAAAATTACACTACAATTGGGGTTTGGAGAAAATAAATTCAGCTACACAAGTTTGACATAATTACGTTAAGCACTTAAGATGTTAATTCATAAACCACTTTATTAGTTTTCTTTTCATTTGTTAAGGGCATGGATAGAATAATGATTTTGCCTTTTATATATATATATATATATATTAAAATGCGTATTTTACCATGTTTGTTCTTATTTTTCACGTTATTAGTATTAGTTTCGATTGCTTTAACATTACTGAAAGAGAAATCGGTATATAATTATAACAAATTTATAGGCCTTATTTGTGATTATTATTATTTTTAAATCTCATGGATGATCGATGTAATTTACCCTCCACAAAAAAGAAAAAAATTGTAATTCCTTTCCTGAGTTACTATCACCCCAAAACTCAACTCAACCCAACCTCAACTAGGTAGTCTCAATGCAATGGGCAGATGGATGCGGATCTAGCAATTAATAAAGTCAAGTTTTGATTGGGTGACATATAAGTTTCAATCCGCGAGACCAGACCTGACCTGACTGCATGTCATTAGGAATTCTTCGTAAATATTGATATATTAGTCATTGGACACGTGCGTTGTACGTGACACGTGATTTTTATTAACTGTTAGTACTGTAATTATGCACGTCTCTTAAATTGGTATGTGATATGTATATAAAATATGGAGACTTATATGGATAAATTGATCTGTATCTAAAATACAATTAAGCAAAAAATGAATACACACTTGACTGAAGAATCTAAATGATAAGATGAAATTTTTTATAAATATAAATATTAATTTATAGTTAGATTATTGAGATCACAATTTTATTTTAAATAATAAACAATTCCTTTAAATATATAGTATTACACAAATATTTTTCTATCAACTTCTCACTTCAATTTTTCATAATCTACACCTGTAATACAACAGAAGGTATGAAATTAATTACACAATTACATAATTTTGTTTAATAGTTCGTCTCATAATACAAATTCATTGAACCCACTATTGTATATTATTTGCATACTATTGGTGTAAGAATGCATTAATATCAATATGTAATATATTTTTATACATCAAGAGTAGTTGAGTCGCATTTCATGTGCCATAAATATCTTGTATGATGAAAAATATAACATTAGTCATTAGTATATAATTGCTATACAATTGTTGTGAAAAAAAATAAATATAAAAAGTGCAATTATTATTGTGATGTAGGTGTTTTGCAAAGTCTTAATTTGTTATTGAAGGTGTTTGTTGTAGACAATTATTTGTATGGCATGTATGTATATATGTATTGAACATAAGTTGATAGGAGAACAATACATAATTCTGCAGTGTTTTCCTAGCAAATATAACTATACTACTAAAGCGATACATGTTAGAAAATTAAAATATCCAATGGTAATATAGCATTACAGATTGACAATGTATGAATACAGTAACATATATAAATTTGCATTTTTATATATATATATATATATATTTTTTGTATATATTTATATATATATTGACATATATACAACATTACAAAAGTAATATGTGAAATATTTTATAACAATATAATACATGTAATAATGAGAAGTTAATTATTCATAATTAAATAGTTTGTCATAATGTAGATGTTTAGTATTACATTTTTTGGTGTATGCACTATTTTTTAATTAGATTATTAAATTTACATAAAAATTGAAAGGAATTTGTGAATAATTTGTATAAAATTAGAGATTAGTGAAGAGAGATTTAAGAAAAAGAAAAGTTTATAGTGTTTAATTTGATTTATTTTTTCAAACTTTTATTTTGAATGTTTTGATTTACATATTTTTTTTCTTTAACACTTTATTTTATTTTATTTTATTAACTCTTTTATTTTCTTTTTAGATTCACTTAATTTAACACTTTTTTATATTTTTTATATTTTAAGTTTACTTTTAGATTTAGATTCTCTTAATCTAAATACACTTAGAAAATAATTTGTTGTGTATTCTTTTTGGAAAAAAAATAATTTAGATTCTCTTAATCTAAATACACTTAAAAAATAATTTGTTGTGTATTCTTTTTGGAAAAAAAAATATTAAATAATAATAATAAAAAATACTACATGCTTGAAATCATTACATGTTTGAATTTATGAATTTTTTTAATCAATATTTTACTTTTTAATTCTATTCAGATTATTAGATATTAGATTTTCATGTAAAAGTATAATTTAAATATAAAATATGAAGAAATCTCAATATCTTTAATTACCAAAACTGAAAAAATATGAAAAATCGAAAATTGAAAAAAAGATTTAAAAAATAAAACCAATGAAAGTGGTTCTTGTTTAGAATTTTAACATCATACATTGGTTATCAAAGCGCAATGTAAAATATTACATTCATAAAATATAATTTAAACAAAAAAAAAAAGAGTGTATGAAGATAACTTGTGAATTTTTGAGATACAACACAAATACATGTTTTAAAAACGCATGTTGTGGCTTGCTTTTCGTGCTCCTTTCGGAAGACGAATAGTCCCACAATTCGAACTCTCGTGATTTTAAATCTAATTTCACAAAGTACAATGTGAAACAGTGAAAACACAAAAGAGTCCAAATTCGGCAATTTTTTTTGAAAATCGATGTTTGAATCAAATGCCAAAAATGGACTGCTTTGCCAGATTATAGAGTCGCCACTTAAATATTTTTGAAAAATTTAAGAAACCCATGACTCGTGCCAAAGGCCATGTGTCCGTCATCACCAAGATTGTCTCGACTCGAGAACTTAGGTACGAGGGGGGAAGGTCATGAATTGAACCACCCACTCGCCCGATCAAAGATCGACAACTACTAATCATGATGTGATTTTTATTTACATTATATGCTCTTGTTCCGATTATTGGCTATTTTTTACTATGTGACATACACACAAATATAGACTAATTTGCAAGAGTTGGAACATTTGATTTCATGTTTTGTTTGAAATTGTTTTGTGAATATGCCACTTGAAAAAGTGGACCAAAATGGACATTAATCAAATTATCCCAATTCAAGCAACTAGCTTTCATCCACAGGCATTCAAACAATTATATCAATTAAGCATTTAGCCTCATGAAAGCATGCTTTGACGTGGTATCACGAACATTCGATGCAAGATGTTAAAACACAAAATTACTCACCTAGTACTCCGAGCCAAAACAAAGAAAAATAATTAGAAAAATATGTATGCCCAAATTAATGCAATATAACTAATGCAACGCACACATTATGTATTTTATAGGTTCGGCTATGAGCATGACATATGATTTCATCAAAGACATGTGATAAAGCATGTATTCAAGCAATGAATTTAAACATTTGGTTAGTATGATGAGCCAAACCTTGAATGTATGCAAGAGAATGGATGCAAGGCATACCAATGCTAATTTGAAAAATGATGTCTTATACTAACCATTGTAAGCAAGTAAGTAAAAGGGAGAAAGATGTGGGGTTGGAAGACATACAACTTATTACATAATTGCCCTCGTGCAAGAGGGTGCGAATCAAAGTCCGAAAGTCCAAATTAAACTAATTATTACAAAACCGAATGAATAAATAAGCGAAGGATTAACTAACTACTCTAGTACAACAAGGATAACCATGATAAGTAAACTAATTATTTAAGCTAACTAGCTATAACAATTACGAACAATAATAATAAATAAATTAATTACAACACTAATAATTAACAAGACTGATTGTAATAAATTAATTACAACAACATTTGGAGCATTACTCTACAACAATGATGCAAGGATGCACAAGGTTTGCATGCATAGTGTTCAAGAACAACTCTGTCCACCTAGGTTTGCTCTGTTTCACCTTCAGCCACTGCCCTCTGTTTTCTGCAAAATACACTGCTGACCAAACATTGATGACCGGCTGTGCCTCGATGAAGCCTGGTCGTGCCTTAATTTCATGCAAAATTCAGTTTTGTACTCTGAAGTGAAAACAGTGCAGACAGAGTGTTCTGAACTCTGTTTGTCCCTCTCACACTTTTCTGTCATGGGAAAGCCTCGAGAGAAAGTTGGAATCGTTTTCAAAATCATCAATGAGAAAGTTGATTGCTTGGTGATTTCGGGTACAATTTGGACAAAAAATCAATAATTGAAAGGAGTTTCAACCACTCCTCTCTCCTATCATAGAGTGAACTCAAAGAGGGAGGTAGAGACGCTTCAAGATTTATCAAAACATCATGAATTGATGTAAGATAACCATTGACACAACGGATTCGACATAACGTCCGGCCAAACCCTAAGCAATATAACTCATTTTCTTTATGTGATTTGGTTCATTTTAAGCTAAATTCAATAGTCTTTACCATCCTTTAATCCATTAAATCCAAGATGATTGTTACGTCCACTAGAGATTACGTCCACTAAGTGAGAAACA